CTAAAAAAGCAGTTTCAATTCAAAAAAATAATTTCAACCAAAAAAAAAAGTTTTATCAGCCAAACAAAAAAAACCTATTTCAATCAAAAAATAAAGAAAAAAAACCCTGTCAAAACGTTTTTTGCAAAACAGAAACTTTTGGTTGAATCTCAAACTTTTGGTTGACGCTTTAAGTTTTTGGTTGACTGTCTAAGACAGGGGTGCCCAACCAGTCACTGGTTCCCAGGTGCCCGCGAATCGAAACCTTGCTGTGGAGCCTCTAGCGCTGACTCTGAGCATTGGATCCCAGAGTGGCTGGTCTTGTTTGAAAGCTCTGTTTCGAAAGATGAATGAAGTCCCTGCGACGTTCCCCTGCGGAGATATAAGCAAAAAAAACTCCAAAATACGCACCATCTGACATCCCGCCGGGGTGGTTTTAGCCCCCCTCCCGGGCTAGGAGCGTCAGATCCCGGCATGGCTGGTCAGATTTTAAAGCCCTGGCTCTACCCTACAAGGATAAAGTTGATTGGAGTCCCTGTGACTTTCCTCCGCAGAGATATAAGCGAAAAACCTCCAAAATTACGCACCATCGGACCTCCACCGGGGATGGTTTTAGTCCCCCTCCCCAGGTTAGGAGCATCAGATCCCAGAATGGCTGGTTGTGTTTTAAAGCTTTGGTCTGCCCTATAAGGGTTACTTGAATGGAGTCTCTGTAACGTTCCCCCATGGAGATATAAACAAATTACGCATGACTTCGTGCATTTTACGCGCATTTTTGGGAGGAAATTTCAACCTACGTTTGCTTCTCCTGCGGGCTCTGAGCATCTGATCCAGGAAAATGAGATGACTTTGGAAAGCTGCGGTCCTCCTCCACAAACTGGAGGTGGTTGCAAGTTCCTGGGACGTTCCCCCGTGGAGCTATTAACCAACGACCAGCCGAAAAATGCGCTTTGGCCGGCGATATAATACTCAATTTACTCCGGGGCCTCTAGCGCCGGCTCTGAGCGTCGGATCCAGGTGGGAGATGGCTCCTTTTAAAGTTCTGGATCTCCGCTACAACCTGGAGGTGGTTGCAAGTTCCTGGAATGTTCCCCTGTGGAGATATAAGCAATCAAAAGTCGTCGGGCAAGCTCCAGTGGGTGAAACGGCTGATTTCCGGCACGAGGCTGCTTGTGCTGATGGAGGGGAATAAAAGGAAGAGATCCAGTGAGGTGGAACCGCGGTCCTACGTCCAACACCTGCTCTCCCACCTGGATTTAGCCAGAAACCCCTGGCGGGCGATATTTCTGCAATAATGCATAAAATTCAGAAACCCACCTGATGGATCACTTCCAGGCAATAAAAGGAATGGATTTGTTCAGGTGAAACCAGTCCTGGAAGCTCAGCACCAGGTTTTATAACAGCCTGCGAGAAAGTTTTATATTGTGTGCTTTGACTTTGAAAAAAGGGCAGTACTCTTGTGGTAGCCATGTTGACCCTGATAGTTTTTTTGTTTTGTTTTTTCTCCCCTGTATGGAGAGAAGAGAGGAGAGTTCTTTGAATAAATGGAGATGAGTTCTCGTGCTCCAAAGTTATTTGACTCTGTGGTTCTTACACTGGAAATGTTTTCCAGCCCTCATAGCTTGCACTTTACAGTGAGGACTGATTGAAGGAGATAACAAAAATGGTACTTTTTATTCAAGCATCACTTTTCTGTTTCTCTGTCAGGAGTTAATTAAGGATTTTATATTTTGTAAATGATGTAAAATGTAAAATGTAAAATGTCTTGTTTAGTGAATGACAGGGAAAAAGCTGCTCACTGCAGAGGTAGGTGGGCAGAGAGAAATTCTTCAATCTTTCAGGTTTGTGGATTATTTGTTGAGGTGCAGAAAAAACAGTTGAAAGAAAATAAAACTTTTGAAAACTATCTTGTTTCCATTCAACACAGTTCTGCAGGAGAAAACACTCAATGAGATTTGACAGGAAATTAAAGTTCCTTCCTTCCTCTCACCTCTGTACCATACTGTGTATAAAGTCAACTTATAAAAAATGTTGGACGGTTAGAGAACAAGTCTCTGAAGAAAAAAAGTGTCATTTGTTGTCCTGATGCATCTCAGTAATCCAGGTAAAAAATCAAAAAGAAAAAAAATTGTGTAGGTCTTCTGGACGGGTTCTTCTCTAATGAAATGTTTTGTCTCTTCTCCAAGAGACTTCTTCAGTCTGAGAGTTTCAGGCAAAATTCAGGCTTTTAAGCCCAGCCTCCAGGTGACTGATACTCACATCACATGGCTATCGTTCACAGGTGACTGATACTCACATCACATGGCTATCATTGACACCTAATTAACACTTATTGTTTGTTAACAGCGGGTGGAGTGATACTGGAAATAGCCACGCTGTAGGAGGGGGACAACTGAAAACGGAGGCCTCCACCTCTGCTTAATGATGGATGGTCTTTCTTCACAAAAATGGCTTATTTTACTCCTCTCTCAAACCAACGTTCCTCTCTATCAAGAATGAGAACATCCTCATCTCTGAAAGTGCAGAATTCTGGCCATTAGACATAGCTCGTCTGTGTTGGGACATTCTTTTGAACAGTGGCTGCTTTGTTTCCCCGATGTATAACTGGTCGCAGTCCTCCTGGCACTTAACAGCATATACAA